GGGCCAAATACAGGATCCAAAAATGTGCATGCAAGAGCAAAAACAAGAAATCTTTCCAAAAGCTCTTCCAAATATATTAGAAGCAGGCCACACCACTAGGGAAACTCCCTTTCAATGGACTGGCTGCTCAAAACATATACATCCAATCTCATCATGGGACTAACCCACATCACAACTGCCTAAACCACTCAGAATTGTGGTCCAGCCAAGTTGACATACAATTCCAGCTATCACACTGGCTTTGCCAATGCAAGAGTTCTATATTGGCGGGAGCAAAAGCCAAATAATTTTCTTTTATATTCTACCTGATGCTTGATGTCTGTAATATATATTTGCTGGTGGGCTGGAGATAGAGACAATGGAACAATAGACCTATAATAGAAAATATTTTTATTAAAAGTATTTCTTAATTTGAGTCAGCTTATAACAACTTCTTACACAGTGAAACTTGTGAGAACCAGAACTCAATGAGACTGCCTTGTTCCTCTGGGTTTTTGGAAAATATCCCCCTTTACCAGAATGCAGTCTTAACACTTTTGCTGTGCTCATTTTAGTGGAAAATATTTTGGATTTTCCTTCTCTGACAGGTTTCTGCCTTAGACAGGTTCCAACTTCTGCAAGTTTTACATCAATTCTTCTTCGCTCTTCCACATTCACTGTCCACCTTTTACATACATATGAAGTACCTGACAATACCATGGTATACATTCTGTGGGATCGCCTTTCCTTGTAATGGGCACAAATATCAATATCTTCTAGTGGGTTGGCCAGGTAGCTGCCTTCGAAATTTCTTGGCATAAACAAGTAAGCGCCTCCACTGCGGCATCTGTTTGTTGAAACATCTCAGTGGGTATTCCATCAATTCCTGGATCCTTGTTTTTCTGCAATTCCTTCAGTCCAACTTGGACATCTTCCTTCAATACCACTGTTTCTTAATCATATGCTACCTTCTGAAATAACTAGATATTGAGCACTTTTTTTGATAGTGTGACTCTGTGTTCCATCTCCTTTTCACATTCAATATCATTCAATATTTTCCCCTAGAATCCTTCAACATTCCAACAAGAACCTTGATTTTTTTCTTCAGTTCTTTCAGCTTGAGAAATGCGAAGCATGTTTTTCCCTTTTGGAATTCTAATTCCAGGTCTCTGTACATATCATAATAAGACTTTAATACTTCTTCTCGAGCCACACTTTGAAATCTTCTGTTCAGTTCTTCTATTTAGTCATTTCTCCCACACACTGTAGCTACTCTTCATTCAAAAGCAAGTTTCAGAACCTCTTCTGACATCCATATTGGTCTTTTTTTCCTTTCCTCTCTTTTTAAAAACTAATGATTTTCTTCATGTATGATGTTCTTGATATCATCACTCAACTCATCCGGTCTTTGGTCACTGGTGTTCAACACATCAAATCTATTCTTCAGATGGTCTCTAAATTGAGGTGGGATATAACTAAGTTTGTATATCTTGGCTCGCGGGACTTATTTCAGTTTTTTTCAGCTTTAACTAGAACTTGCATAAAAGCAATTAATGGTCTGTTCAAAAGTCAAACTTATTTTGTTTGATGATACTGAGCTTCTCCATCACTTTTCCACAGCTGTAGGCGATCTGACTCCTGTATATTCCATCTGGCAAAGTCCACGTGTATAGCTGCCATTTATGTTGTTGAAAAAAGGTATTTGCAATGAGTAAGTCATTGGTCTTGCAAAATTCTATCATGCCATCTCCAGCATCATTTCTACCACCAAGGCCCTATTTTCCAACTACCTATGATTCTTCTTTGTTTCCAACTTTCGCATTCCACATACAGTACTGCATTGTCAGTGAAGGCAAACATGGGTATACAGGTGCATAGATGGGTGGACAGGCTGAGCTATTAGGTACGTCTATGAAGTGGGGAGTGTACCACGTATAGGATAGGGTTGGCAGACAATGGTCCTGTAAGTATATCTGTGTGATCTGAATTCCCAGGTCTATAGTAGAGCTGACAAGGGACAAAGTTGTAGTCACTTCTTGTTCACAGCCAGCTACCCAGAGGGACCAAGTAGTTGAACCTGTGGGCTCGGGACCATAGTCACAGGGGACATCAAGTTCAACTGGCATAACATACTACACAAAACTACTTTGTCGAGTAGCGACTGCGATCTTAAAAGCTTGCAAGCAGCCATCTAGATGCAATGATGGGTCTCTCCTCATCCAGAGCAAAGAAGAATGAAGAAAACCAAAGATTCATGGAAAGAATTACTCCTAGAGACTGGTACACCATCCGATCTGTAGTCTATACGACTATGAGACCAGAAGCACTAGATGGTGCCTGGCTACCACTGTCTTTTCTCCCACACACTGTAGCTACTCTTTCCCCTGAAACACTTGATAGTAATTTGCTGAGTCATGATGACACTCTGACCTAAACACTTCAGCCTGCCATCTTCTAACAGTTCTTTCTTCTTGTACATAATTGCTTATACCATTATCACCTGTGAGAACATTAGAAATGACTAATATATAATTATTTTTAAAAGTCTATGATTTTGGTTATTTATTCAATAATTTGCTAAATGATGAATGCTCCTTTTTATACAGTATCATGTCCTAAATCAGTGCCCGAGACACACAACCAGTGATAACAGTAACAGTGGGTGAATATGGAGATATTCTCCTCACTAACTCAAATCAGGTTGTTCTGGTTACCGCTCTGACAACAAAAATACCACAATGGGATGGCCTTAACAAACAGGTGTTTATTCTTACAATTTGGAGGATTTAAGCCCAAGTTCAAAGTGCCAGGCTCTAGGGGCTGGGTAAAAGCCTCTCAACCTTGAAGTCCTGCACTGCCTCCTACTCCTGGCCCACTGGAGTATAGACATCTCTTCACTCGGACAGCTGCAGGCTGCTGAGGCTGAGAAGCCCCAAGGTTAACAAGTAAAGAGGTACAGTTCAGATGTTACCAAACCATACGGCAGGCCATTAACTTAAGTCCATTTTAAGTCCCAAGGTCGGCAGAGCATAGCAGGCTGCTAAGCAACAACATGGCTACATGCAGGGTCCAAGCGTGCCACAGGCTAGAGACCATTTCCCAAGGCTGCTGCTTAAATATAGGAAGCAGACCACATTCCCTAAGGCAGCTATTCAGCTGCTCACAGTACATTCCACCATGGAGTTGATTACTAGTCTCATCATGGGTAATACTACATCCAGCTGCCCAGCCACTCAACCAGGCCCAACCAAGTCGACACAAAAACATAGCCACCACACAGGTGCACACAGACTTCTGATCTCAAGAGATCAGCTAACAAGAAACAAATCAAAACTGTATCTTTTTTTTGAACTTTACAAATAACTCACATATTCTTGCTAATCTTCCAACACTAAAACTAGGCAAATTACTAGCAATTTCTACTTTTTGTATTTTAATTTTTCATAAGGTCTTTTTTTTTGTTTCAATTGCTTAAAGTTTCCTTTTATGTAAATAGGTATTTATCACTTATTTTAAATGTAACTTTACTGTGAATTTTTAATAGAATGTTAATTACTGCTTAGTTAAAAAACATAAAATCTATTATCTTACCCATCCATAAGCAGTACTTCGCTCACGCTCCTGAGTGATGTCAGCTACATAGGCAAATATCACAGAAAACGTGACTGAGAAGACTCCAGACACGGAAATCATTGCAAAATACCACCTATAAAAAAAATTAGTCTAATTACCTAGGAGACAGGCAGTGTATGTACACTGATTTACTTATGTTTTGTAACCAAACTAAACCAAAAATAACATATAAAGAGTGTAAATACGTATAGAAATGTATGTATATATGTATGTATGTGTGTGTATATGCAATCAATAAAATCACTTAAAATCAAGATGGGGAGGAAATAGTAGAAACATATTAATTTTTTCATTGCTCACCAAAGTGGGTTTTGGACATGTGGTCTAAAAAAGGGTAAGAGTTAAAGTCATAGTTATAAAGGTAGCCAACAAGAAAAACAGAAACTCTCAATATTTCTTAGTGTTAAACCAAACCAAACAAAACAAACTCACTGCCATCGAGTTGAGCCCGACTCATAGAGACCCCTCCTTGGGTTTCCGAGGCAGTATCACTATGGAAGTAGATTGCCCAACCTTCCTTCTGAGGAGTGGCTAATGGGTTTGAACCGCTAGCCTTCTTAGTGTTAGGTAAGAAAAACATACAGTGAATGAATATAAAAGAACTCCAGAAAAACAGAAAGCATGAGAAAAATATTTAAATAATGAAGGCATTAAAACTCTGCCATTATTCATAGATGTTTAACAAACAAAAACCCAGTTAAAATGTCAGCAAACAGAAATCAACAAAACAAAAAGCAGAGTTTCTTCCAAGAACACAGGATTTTTCAGTATTTGAAATTTTATTAATGTAATTTATCATGTTTTAATAGATACATGAAGAAAAATCAAACAATCTCCATTGATTTGAAAAATGGCATGTGATAAAATTATTGATTTTACAAAAGAAAAATTCTAAATAAAATAGGAGTATTTGTCAAGCCAAAAACTAGTCTAATTCTCAATGATGAGACATTACAGCATTGCCTTTATGCATACCAAGATGAATCCATAATCATCACTTTTATTTAACATTATTCATTAGTAAACAGTATTAGCAAAAGCAGCGAACAGCTTAAAAATTGGAAGGAAAGAGGTAAAATTACTTATAACTGGCATAAATATTTAATATACAGAGAACACCATGCAATTAGAAGAGTCCATTTTTTGACAGAAGGGTAACATTTATAGGAATCAAGCTTAATAAGAAATGTGTAAGAATTTAGAATTCTTTTAAAGAAAAAAAAATTTAAATTATTTAGAGAACATTAAAATAAAACACTAGCTCACTGGATAATCTAATGTAGAATTTGACAAATGTTGACAGAAAATTCTTTTCAGATAATCAAATTATATCTATACATGACCAAAAAAAAAAGAAAAGAAAAGAAAGCAAATGTATTAATAGCATTTAAAACAAACAAAAAATAATTTCCATGCTTTACACAGGAAAAGCCTTTGAGCAACAAATATTGACCAAAATACCATTGTTCTGGCCTCCAGAAACACAACTAAGTTACAGTTCACTTGCAAATTCCATCCCACAACCTGTGAGCCAACAGAATGCAGAAATTATTGAATATTAGTATCACATGTAACTAAAATTTTGCTGAAAACAATTTTTCAAAAACAGCTGCAGAAATTCACAGATAGGGAATGGTCAGAAATTTCAGCCAAATTCAGAAGAAGATGTGGGCCAAGGGATATTACTGCTGATATCCCATGGATCTTAGCTGAAAGCAAAGAAAAATAAAAAGATGTTTACTTATGTCTTATTGACTATTCAAAGGCATATGACTGGGTGGATCATAGCAAATTATGGGTAAACTGCAAAGAATAGGAATTCCATAATGCTTAATCGTGCTCATGCGGAACCTATACATAGATCAAGAGGCCACTGTTTTAACAGGACAAGTGGCTACTGCATGGTTTCAAATCAGAAAGGGTATACATCAGTGTTTCATCCTTTCACCATATTTATTCAATCTGTACACTGAGCAAATAATCTGAGAAGCTGGACTATATTTAGAAGAACATGGGCATCAGAACTAACAACGTGCAATATGCAGATGACACAACCCAGCTTGTTGTAAGTGAAGACCTGAAGTACTTACTGATAAAGATCAAAGACAACAGCCTTCAGTATGCATTCAACAGAAAGGAAACAAAAATCCTCACAACTGGACCAATAAGCAACATCATGATAAATGAAGACTGACATTTTCAAGGATTTCATTTTATCCACAATTAACTCCCATGAAGCAGCAATCACAAAATCAAAGGACATGTTCCATCAGGCAAGTCTGCTGCAAAAGACCTCTTTAAACAGTCTACAAGCAAAGATGTCACTTTGAAGACTAAGGTGTGTCTGACCCAAGTGCTATTTTTAATAGCCTCCAATGCATATGAAAGCTGGACAATGAATAAGGAAAACTGAAGAAAAATTGATTCATTTGAACCGTGGTACTGGCAAAGAACAATGAAAATACCATGGACTCCCAGAACAATGTCTTAGAAGAAGTACTGCCAGAATACTCCTCAGAAGCAAGAATGGCCAGACTTTATCTCTTGTACTCTGATCTTGTTGTCAGGAGAGACAGTCACGGGAGAACAGTATCATGCTTGCTAAACCAGAGGGTTAGCAAAAAAAAGGGGAATACTTTCAAGGAGGATTGACACAGTGGCTACAACAATGGGGTCAAGCATAGCAACAACTGTGAGCATGGTGTAGGCCAGGCAGTGTTTTGTTCTGTGTTGAAACTGACTTGACAAAACCTAACAACAGTAGTCTATTTTGTTTTACTACAGTATACACAAAAGTGACTCCTGCCTATTATGATATAAGGTATGTTCATATCAGTACCCAAAAGCGAAGAGCTGACAAAATAATAAATTTTCAGTCAAGTGAACTACAACAGTGAGTGCATTCCTGGCACTGAACTCAGATCACTGAACTCATAGCAACAATAGCTACCCTTACAGCCATGTTTTATTTCTATTTCTTCACCTAAATAACTAATCTTAGACTTCATTTTGTAATGTCTTCTTTTTCCCAGGTATAAAACAGGCTTGAAGGCAATTACCCAACCTGTCTTTTAGGATTACTAAAGCATTAAAATAAAATAAAAACACAGATACAACTGCTTGGAAATGGTTAAGAAGTGCTATGTAGATTCATTATTATTTACATGTTACCCAAGATAGGGTCATGATGGCAGAGGGTGCTGAACCACTCACCATGGGCTGATTCTCATCAGTGGGATTGGGAAGCAGGTAAAGAAGACTGTGCCAATGAGAAAGGGCTTCCTTCCCCACACATCAGACAAAGCACCTATGAGAGGGGCACTCAGAAAAGATAACAGGCCCTGGAGAAGAAAAAGAAACAAAGGTTAGATTTATAATCTGATCCCCAATTACCTGTAATTCTTACTTTCTAAATGCATTAGCTACAGTTCATTTTATTGGTCCTAAAACAGAATCGGAAACATTAAATACAAACTATTTCTAACTGCAAAGTGACCTTTTAAAATTTCTTTAAAAATTTGTAAACATGCTAAAGGGAAGAAAGGGGGTTAAAAAAAAAAAAAAATCTTATTTTTCAGAAAAAGTTTGAAAAGAGAGGTGAGTATATGCATCACATATATATACCCACAATTGGCTCTTAAGATGCATACACACCAAGAATATGGAAAGAAGCCAGAAATGCAGTTCATTTCAACACGTATGTACTACATATCCAATATGTGCAAAGCTCAAACGAATACAAGCCTTCTGCTCTCAAAGGGTTTGCAGTCTAAAGGGGATTAACAGAACCAGTATGCATATGCTAAATGTCTAAAGAAAAGCAGATTCTCTGTCAATCAATATACAGGTTGTACATGCCTGTTAAATTCAGGAAGGAGATAGTGAAACTTTAACAACAAAGTTGAGGCTTAGGGGAAGGGAGCTGACATAGATAACATAATATATAAGCAAAGGAAGTAAAGAAACTAATACTTACTACCAAACCAAACCCATTGCCCTCAAGTCAGATCCGACTCATAGCAACCCCTCCTTTGGTTTCTGAGGCAGTATCACTATGGAAGCAGATTGCTCAACTTTCCTTCCGAGGAGTGGCTGATGGGTTTGAACCACCAGCCTTCTAGTTAGCAGTCAATGCCTTAGGCACTACGCTATTAGAGCTCCCACTATGCTACCAGAGCTACTTACCCACTATTTGCCAGTTACTCTGCACTGGCCATGCTCCTATCAATTACTCATCCATCCTCACAACCCTACAAGATGGTCACAGGCTGACCACTAAGATCATGGTGGTAACCACCAGGATTTCTCAAGCCTTCGCCCTCACTTCACATGCTATGTTTGCACATACAGCCACTAAACCAGTTGTTGATTCACAGAGATCCTATGTGTGAGAGAACTGTGCTCCATAGCATTTCCAATGGCTAGTGTTTCAGAGAGTTCTGGTAGTATAGTGCTTAAGACACTTGACTGCTAACCAGAAGGCTGGCAATTCAAACCCACCAGCCACTCCTCGGAAGGAAGATTGGGCAATCTACTTCCACAGTGATACTGCCTTGGAAACCCAAGGCGGGGTCTCTATGAGTCGGGTCTGACTCAACAGCACATAACAACAACAATAACAGTGTTTCAGAAGGTCACCAGATCTTTCTTTTGAGATACCTCAACATCTACGTTATGCACAACTGGTTTGCAATCTCTCTCTAGTAGGAACCTTTCTTCTGAGATCTGTACCTATAGCCAAGTGGACTTTTCTATTTGGATATTTCACAACACGTCACTCCCTTGTAAACCTCACCATCCTTTCACATTTCCCACCTTAGATAAGAAGGTATCTAAAACTTTCTCCCTCCAACTGTCCACTCCCCAAAGGCTATTTTCAGATTCTCTCTTCTTCATCCTCTCCTTGCATCCCCTGCTAGACATACTTCAGCTCAGAAGCCCTCATCATTTCTTCCCTGAATTAAATTGTAAGATAGTTTCTTTACTGGCTGACCTCTGAACCCAGTTCTGACTCCCTCCAATCTGTCCTCTTTACATCCATCACTGGCCTTTATAAAGCTGTAAACCTCAGCTCTTTGAACCCTTCTTTTTAAAATCCTTCAACAGCTCTTCACTGGGTAGAGTTTAAAGTCTGCAACAAGATTTATGGATGAAAGTATGAGCTCCTGAAATTTGCTTTATAAATATTACAGATAAAAATGGGATTTGAGGGGAGAATGGGGATGGATGACACAAGTGGGAAAATCTTGATAAATAATGAAACTGGGTGATGGGCACAAGGATGTCAATTGTATTATTTTACTTCTGTGTTTGGATTTTCATATGTTGCTGTTAGGTGCTGTTTTGGTTCTCTAGTGCTGCTATAACAGAAATACCACAAGAGGATGGCTTTAACAAACAGATTTATTCTCTTACACTTGAAGAGGCCAGAAGTCTGAGTTCAAAGTGCCTCTTCTAGGGGCTGCTTGAGGCCTCAACCATGGGCTTAAGCTCTGCTTCTGGCTCCCAGCCCACTGGAGTGGGAGACGTCTCTTAACTCAGGTAGCTGCTGGCTGCTGAGGCTGACAAACCCAAGGTCAACAAGTAAAATAGCACAGAGTTCCAAGACTATCAAGCAACAAGGCACGCCACTAGTTCCAAGTCCAGAAACAGTCCCAAAATTGGCAGACAACATGGTAGACCACTGATGACTCGGCCAAAAGCAGGATCTTGTGCCAAGAAGTTGAGAGACAATTCTCAAAGCTGCTTCTTATATGCTGGGAACAGGGTACACCCTGAAGGCAGTTACTAAGCTGCTCACAGAAAATTCCACCATGGATTGATTACCAGTCTCACCATGGGGAATAACTACATTCAGCTGCCCAGCCACTCAAACCCATAGCCCAAGCAAGTTGACACACAACCTTAACTATCACAGAGCTGTTGAGTGGGTTCTGAATAATAGTGACCCTGTGTACAACTGCAGGAAACACTGCCTGATCCTGTGCCAGCCTCACAATCTTTACTATACTTGCGCCCATCATTGCAGTCACTGTGTCAACCCATCTCCTTGAGGGTCTTCCCCTTCTTCACTGACCCTCCACCTTTACCACCTTTACCAAGCTTGATATTCCTCTCCAGGGAATGGTCTCTTCTGACAACATGACCAAAGTAGGTGAGATGAAGTCTGGCCATTCTTGCTTCCAAGGAGCATGCCAGCTGCACTTCTTCCAGGACAGATTTGTTCATTCTTCAGCAGTTCATTTTCAGTACTCTTCCCCAACACCACACAATGGTATCAGCTCCTCCTCAGTTCTTCTTATTCACTGTCCAGCTTTCCCATGCATATGAGACAACTGAAAATACCATGGCTTGGGTTAGGTGTACCTTAGACTTCAAAGTGACATCTTTGGTTCTTAACACTTTAAAGGGATCATTTACAACAAACTTGCCTAGTGCGATATGACTTCTGATTTCCTGACAGCTGCTTCCACGGGTGTTGACTGTGGATCCAAGTAAAACGAAATTCCTAACAACTTCAATCTTGTCTCCACATATCATGTTGCTACATACTGGTCCAGTTGTGAGGCTTTTTGTTTTCTTTATGTTGAGGTATAATTCATACTCAAGTCTGTAGTTTTTGATCTTCATCAGTAAGTGCTTCAAGTCATCTTCACTTTCAGAAAGCAAGGTTGTGTCATCTGTATATTGCAGGTTGTCAATGAGTCTTCCTCCAATCCCAATGTCGTGTTCTTCTTCATATAGTCCAGCTTCTTGGATTATCTGCTCAGCATACAGATTGAATACGTATGGTGAAAGGCTATGACCCTGACACACTCCCTTCCTGATCTGAAACCATGCAGTATCTCCTTGTTCTGTTCCAACAACAGCTTCTTGGTGGGCGTCCAGGTTCCTCATGGTATTCTTTGCTTATACCCAAGATCCACTGGACATTATATCAATGATAACTCTCATTCCACCTCCTCTTCTGAATTCAGCTTGCATTTTTGGGAGTTCCCTCTCAATATACTGTGAAATCATTTTTTAATTAATTATCTTCAAAATTTTTACTTGCATGTGGTATTAATGATATTGTTCAATAATTTCCACATTATTTTGGATCACCTTTCTTTGGAATGAGCACAAATATCGTTCTCTTCTAGTCAGTTGGCAAGGCAGCTATCTTCCAAAATTCATGACATAAACAAATAAGCAGCTCTAGTGCTGCATCCATTTGCTAAAACATCATAATGGCTATTCTGTCAATTTCTGGAGCCCTGTTTTTCGCCAATTCTATCAGTGAAGATTGGATTTCTTCCTTCAGTACCATTGGTTCTTGATAACAGGCTACTACTTCGTGAAATAGTTGGACATCCACCAATTCCATTTGGTACAGTCACTTGTATTCTTTCCATCATTTTTTTATGCTTCCTGCATCACTCGATATTTTGCTAACAGAATTCTTCAATATTGCAACTTGAGGCTTGAATTCCGTTCGTTCAGCTGGAGGAATGCTGAGCATGTTCCTTCTTTTTTGGTCTTCTGACTCCAGGTCTTTGCACATTTCATTATAATACTTTACTTTGACTTCTTGAGCTGCCCTTTGAAATCGTCTGTTTACCTGTTTCACCTTGTTATTTCTTCCAGTTCCTTTAGCTACTTTCCATTCAAGAGCAAGTTTCAGAGTCTTTTCTGACATCCATTTTGGTCTTTTCTTCCTTTCCTGTCTTTTTAATAACTGTTTGCTTTCTTCATGTATGATGTTCTTCATGTCATCCCACAACTCATCTGGTCTTTGGTCACTGGTCTTTGACACATCAAATCTATTTTAGATGGTGTCTAAATACAGGTGGGATATAATCAAGGCCACGTTTTGGCTGTCGTGGACTCATTTTCCTTTTCTTCAGCTTCAACGTCAACTTCCATATGAGCAATTGATGGTCTGTTCCACAGTCAGCTTCTGTAATTGTTTTGGCAGATTATTCTGAGCTTCTCCATTGTCTCTTTCCACAGATACAGTAGACCTGATTCCCATGTATTCTGTCTGGTGAGGTCACGTGTATAGCTGACTTTTATGTTGCTGAAAAAAAAAGTATTTGCGATTAATAAGTCATTGTTCTTGCAAGATTCTATCATGCAATCTCCAGTGTCATTTCTATCACCAAGGTTCTGTTTTCCAACTATTGGTGATTTTTCTGTTTCCAGCTTTTGCATTCCAATCACCAGTAATAGCCAATATAACTTGATTGAATGTCTGGTCAATTTCAGACTGCAGAAGTTGGTAAAAATCTTCAATTTCTTCATCCTTGCCTTTAGTGGCTGGTATGTACATTTGAATAACAGTAGTATTAACTGATCTTCC